CTTTGATAGGTGACATTTCTTGTGATTATATATTAGTAAATAAAGTCCATCTGCGTGGAATTTTTTATTTTACTTATTTTTGATTTTAGTAAAGTGGCTTTTATTGTTATACTCAATACCCATATAATGTTTTAGAAATTTATTTTATTACCCCATGAGAAACAGTTAGTTGATTCATATTGTTTTTGTTTGTTTAGCATTTTATGAGAACTGACTATTTATTTTTCACTTTGGAGGATGTTATGTTTACCATGTTAAGTTCATATCGTTTCGCATTACGGGTTAATAACTCGTTAAATTAAATTATAATTTTCATTTAAATGTTAAGAAATATGTTTATAAAATTTAACACTTGTGTAATGAGCTGTGATGATGACGTTGACGATGCATAACGCAGACAACGGTGTATGGGCGAACTTTTGTAGTCAACATAGCAAACAATAGCCAGTAGGATGCCTTGATGTCTGTCTGTCCACCGGCAACCTGACTGTCTATAAGTCTGTCTGTCTGTCTATCATAGGGAAACATCTAAATAAAATGCTTCATACAATTTTGTTTTTTTTTTTATTATATCTTTTATTATTTTTTTTATTTTTTTTTATTTTTTTTTTTTTGCTCCATTTCAGGGTAATGGTGCCGGCAACAGCGCCAGCTCAAGTTAAGTGAATGCATTTAATTACCAAAGTGATGACTTCTGTGCACACGAACTCACACTTATAAACTCTTCCTTCGCACATATACCATTTTATTTAGATGAACAAGAGAATAGTGTTTTGTACGTGTGCTTCCTTAGTAATGCATTCATTCGCGCTTTTTGTTTTGTTAGTTTTTTATGTGTTGAATAAATATATATATATATATATATATATATATATATGTTTATATATGTATATACATATATAGAGAAATGTATGACAGCACGTTTATAGGTGTATACTTTCAACTCTTTAACGTTTTTCCTTTTATGTTAAGTTCTCACTAAACGGAATCTTGTTGTTGCAAGCCTTAAGGTTTGATTGAAGTTACTTTTAGGGCAAAGTACCCGTTCATGCCTGTGCTAAAAAGTCACACAACTAAAGCTAAAGCTTATGAGTTAAAGTGTACTCTGGTACTGGAAAAAAAAAAAAAAAACATAAGTCAATGTCGTTTATATACGTGTAATATTTTTATGTGTCCGCAATTGCACAACGTTTTTAATGCAACAACACGTTAAGCTCATATATTCGTAACCATACGCCAATATGGCACCGACTGTCATCATGCTTAGTATCCAATAAAGTTTGCGTTTGTTTGTTTGGCATGCAAAAACCAGTAGCGAAAGAAGGACAAGATAAAAGGAAAAAAATAAAAAGCAAATCAAAAAAAAAAAAGAATTATACTCGCTTAGGGCGAATTTTGGATACTCACCACGTGCTTGGCATAAAAGAGCATTTTCTTAATCATAAATATATCATTTGGCCGATAAGTATTTTACATGGCATCGGCAAGTAATTGCTGCAGATTTCAAGCTGCTACAGGCGATATAGCATTGGTTTAATCATTTTTTCCGGCTTAACTGGGTACTTGTTTTTATGTCGCATAGCAACCGATTATTTTTTAAACCTATTTTCTTGAACTAAGCTATAAATAAGTTTGCGACTTTTAGAGCTTGTAAAATGACCGCGAGAACGAACGGATAAGAAGCGATGACTAAATCGAATGTTGCGTTAGTAAGTACACGGATACGTTATGAATTGTATAGCACAGCCTGAACAGAAGGCAGTTAATATATACCTTAGACATCTTGTGATTTGCTTACCACAGTGTCGTCTTTTCGTGAGGCGAGAATTCTGAACACTATTAGTCAATACTATTGTCTCAGGTTAATGTATAAATGTAGCTTCTTTTCGTAGGCTGATGGCCCACAGTCTTGGATGATATGTTATTTTCTTCCTTTCAGCTTTCACTCAAATTTTCCCTTTCTTCATTTTTTTTTTTTTTTTTTTTTTTTTTTTTTTTTTTTTTTTTTTTTTGCACTTTAAAGTATTATTGTTCTGCTTGTGAAAAAGTTGCAACTGCATAATAAAACAGAACTATTAGTGCGTGCTTTAAATTACAGCTTTGCAAAGATTTTAGGGATGAACGAACATACACAGAGCCAAACGTATAAGCAGGCGAATGTATGGTAAATGCTATCAGGATCTCATCTCACCCTCATCAATAATGTAAAATTTTCTTCATGTGCGTTACAAATGGAATGGCAAAATTGATGTAAGTTTTCCATATGTGGGTGAAATGAGAAGTAGGAGAGGAGAACACATTAACTAAGCTTTAAAACAGGAAGCTTAGTCTCTTTTTATTATTTTTACTCGTCGTTTCTTTTATTTATTTTTTTTTTTTATTGTTTTTCATTTTTTGTTGTTTTCCTTTTTCGGTCTTTTGTTCTCTTCATTTTTATCACTACATCTAGCAGCATATGGTGCCTTTATGTAGATTTCTTCTTCTTCTTTTTTTTTTTTTCTTTCTTTTAATATTACGATATGTTTAGGCTCCTTCTCGCCCCTTACTCTTTCGGTTTTGTCTTTATTCGTATTTGTTTCTATTTCAATTCTCCCCTCACTCATATGCACACACAAACACACACATACACACAGAGCAACAATAGTTATACACTTATATAAAAGTTTTTTTTTTTTCGTTTTTTTTTTCAAGATTACTCAGTTATTGTATTCACACTGCTTTGGCATCATCGTTTATCTGCTTCACTTCACTTGACTTAAAATGCATATTATGCTGGCACACATAAGCTGGTTGGCAAACAGAATGGAATGATGTTTTAATATATTATCAAAACAGAATCACATGTTTGAGTTAAATAGCTAAAATTCCTTGAAAATTTGCCCCATTAGGAAACAGTTTGGCGTTTGTTAAATTCAGGCTATTAATTTTGCATTTCCTTTGCGGCTTTCTTTACCCATTCATTTTATACGAAATTAAAATTCAAATAATCCAAATTCCTTAAAGGGATATAGAAGCAGCAAGCAAGCAAGCAAGCATGTATATTAGGAACTATTACAACGTGAAAGTGTTATAAAATATTTTATCTAAAATCTAAAGTATTCTAGAGAGTGTATTCTAACTTTTCTTAGGAAATTTTTTTTTTTTTTTCAAGATCTTTTCGTTTGCATCCTTAATACATGTTTGTGACATACTTTTGAAAATTCCAATATTTATACAATGATAGCCAGCCTATATAATTGGCAATAAAAATTGAAGTTGGCAAACAACTTTGAATAGTGGTTTTGTAGTCTTTAATCAATAGCAATATATTTGAATAGGCAAAGACGAGAACATTGAAATAACGTATTCACGGTTAGGCGGTGTTTTCTTTTTTCGTTAAAAACATAAAATAGAAATTGAGTAGAAATTCTTCCGAAAGCGAATTTCGCTGATCTGGCTTTTCAATAGCGCGATTGCAAGACATATCACAGTGTCTCACGAAAAACGGACTTGGGAATATTTCTTTTATGAGATGAAGGTTTGAAATTTGGTATTTCGAAGGAAACCAATCACCACAAAGTCGCCCGTTTACAAAGCTTGGTACTCTCAAGCTAGAAAATATCGCCTGCTCTTGGCAAAGGGCTTCTCTGGAAATGGCACTCCAACAAAAATTTGATATTTTTCTTTTTGGACGACTTTTTCAATTTGATATCTTCGCAGAAAGCTGGCCTTAGAAAATAATTAACACCGAGGCTCTGATTAAAACTCGAAAATCTCTTCTTTTCTTAACATCAAGGAATTCTTTATAGAAATCATTTTCAAATGAATGAATTATCTATGAAGTGAATGAATTTTCAAATGAATGAATTATCAACTTTATTAGTAATTAAGTACGATGCTATTAATCAAGGACTCTTGACTGACTACACTCTCAAAATTAATTAATCATAAGAAGCTTTGCTAAACTGGGAGTTCGATATTAAAAGACTTGGACTTAAACAATTTAATTATTCAATTTGATTATCATCATCATCATCATCATCATCATTATTATTATTATTGTGCCTCATTTAAGCATACTTTTTAAGATTTAGTTATATACATAATTTTATCATTTCTTTATCATTAAAAATGTTCAAGCACTTTATGCAGAAGTTTGCCTTTACATTAACAGCAGTTATATAAATTAAAATATTAATGTCGTTGAACTGTTTCGCAAAAAGTTTTTCGATATCTTTAAAGGTTTATTTGTAAAGATTAAAATTGCGTGAATGTTAAACGATTTTTGAAATTTTCCGCCTTATACTTGATTCTCGAGAAGATTAAATGTAATAATACAGTACTTTCTGCTTATCTGTAAATGAGATATAAATCAAATTGACTTACGATTTTTATGAAATTAGGAAGACTACCTACAAGCAGAGAGAAAGACGGACGAACAAAAAGGTTTAATTAAATCTGCTTGAATAGATTAGAACACTGCTTAAGTATATATTCAGCATTATTAGGGGATCTCTTATGCTATATCTCGATTACAAAATTATCCTATTCTTGGTTAGTAGATGTAGCGAACAAAAGAAAATATGTTCGCTTTTTTTTTTTTTTTTTTTTTTTGCCGACAATGTTTAACAAACAGGAGCCGTGTCTTTATTGGATGTATTTTAAAACAACCAGGGACCGATTAATGGTCATTGATATTGAACAAGCTCTATAATTGTGGTTTCGGGACTCGCCATAACAAATAGAGAGTTTATAGCATTTTACTTGAAAAGCATTTCGTTTGAAAAATGTTTTGACTGTAGAATTGCTGTCGGCCAACAAACAAAGGGCAAAGTGTTGTTTGCTCGATTTCGAGCAACCGAACCAATGCATGTTTTATGCTTGCTAAGACCAATCTATTGTATGAAAACGTTTATCTTAATTCTCTTCAACGTCCTGCACTATTACATTGATCATTTTTCCTTTGTATTTTATTATTATATTAATAAATGAATTTTTATTAATAATTAATAATTTTCCAGCGCTACACAATTGGCATGGCGATGTTAAATTTGGTCTTCCTCTGGACGTTGGTGATTCCGTAGAAATATTAGAAGAATGTCCAAAATGGTTTCGTGGCACTTGCCCGCGGAAATCCCGGGCTGTAGGCATATTTCCAAAAACTTATATACATGTGAAAGATTTAACGAAAATTGACCCAGTTGTTGCTGAGTGTACACAAGTATTACGGGAATGGTCGGAAATATGGAAGAAATTATTCGTGGTATGCTGCATTGTTCTTAGTACCTAAATATAGTTAAAATATCGATTTATTCATATTTCAGGATCGTGAAGCATATAAATTTAATACATTACGTAAAGTAATGCTTTCGATATTGGAGAGCAGACGCGAATTACTGGGTGCAACGTTAACACAAGATCAAACTTTAGAATTACAAATGACCGTCGTATCGAAAATTGATTGGGGCAACAGGTTAGTGATATTAAAGATCAATTATTTTTAAATGTAAAAAACGTACATACATATTTATTATAAAAAATTCAAAAAAAGAAAAAAAAATAATAATAATTGAAAAATGTTGTTATATTATGTGTTTTTTTTTTTAGCATAATCACAATACTTTTTGTTTTTACTTTTCACATTTAAAGTAGTAAATCATTTAAAATTTTATAAAACTTAGCTACTATTCAAGATTATAAATTTTTTTGCATTTTGCATATTTATATATAAATCGAAACTTATGTAAAATGCATATTTGACGTATATTAAATTTAATATGAAATCGAACCATTAATGCCCAAAGATAAATACTCCTTTAAGCCTCTTCCTCCCCTTTTATTTTTTCTCTCCATCATCTATCATCAATCAGTTGACCATAGGATTTAAAAAAAAAAAAGGGGGAAAAAGCCAAAACGCAGGCACTAATGGATTAACATTAAAAATTCTTAAATCTAAAAATGGCGTTTATTAAATAATTTTTCATATTAATTAGTAGTGATTTTTTTTTTTTTACACTAACATTAATTTAAAAAAAAAAAAAAATTTTTAAGATTGTTTCGTCACACTCGTTAAGATATCAATTGCACTGTTCTCGCGGATCTCAGAAAAGCCAAAATGAAATAAAGACTGCACACAAATCTACAATTACAGTCCTTTGCCGTTTTAAAAATTCCTTTCAAACATAATATCCGACAAGATTTGAAATTTAACTTTTCATCTTAAAATCCTTAAAAAATATGAATAAGAGAATAGCAAGAATTAAATTATTTTGGCAGATGTCTACGAATGAAATTTTTTTGAATTGACCAGTACACGTCCATCCGGCCGTCTGTTAGTTGAATTTATTAGGGATCAGACAGATATGTGCAAAAAATATTCTCTTTAAGAAATTGCCAAAAAAATGTGATTTATCGGAGAAGCGCGTCCATTAATATATATTTTATAATTTAAAGAGAGTTGTCAGATTGATTGATATGGAAAATTGAGTTTCGATAACTCGAAATAAATCGGGATTATTATAATTCTACACTTTACACTCTGTACGGGTTTCCTTCACAAAAAGTAACCCAGACTATACTATATTTTTGCATTTAACACCTTATATATGTAAGCATTCCTTAATGGCATTTTTATTCGTAAAGAGCCCCTACTTCTATGATGAATAAATGAGTTTTTTTTTTAAATAACAATTTACGGTAGCTACTAGGATATTCGATCGTAACCTAATTTTTCTCTCCGATTTTTTTTTTTTTTTTTTATTCTTTTTAATATTTTTTTTAATATGTATGCGTTTGACAGCAGCTATGGAATGCCAATTGCAATGCTTGATACGCGATGCCTTATCGTAAAGTTTACATGAATTTATGTTTCAGTTTCTTTGCCGAAATTATCAACTTGCGGATAAATTGGATGCATCTCTAGTGTAGACGGGGCTGAAGGCGTTCTAGAATTGCCCAATAAATTGCATAGTTCTTGTATCATTTCACAATAGACTTTTCTGGTGACATTTTGACCCAAGAAATGTAATATCAAAAAGTCACCAATCTAAAAAAAAAACAAAAAATAAAATTAAAACATAAAAAAGATAATCATCAATAAATTGAAAAATACTTACATCTAAACGTCTGATTAAGCCCGAGATCTCTTTACTTTGACCCGAGCGATAGGAACGTTTAATAATAGTTTCTCGCGTTGTTGGCATCGTAATCACCATAAATGAATATATTAATGCCACACCGGTAATAACTGATAAAATAATAAACCAGAACCTAAAAGAAGTATTTAAATAAATATTGGAAAAATATATTTATATATATATATATTTTATTTTTTTTTTTTGAGTTGAATTTCATTTTAACTTGCCATAAAAATATATAAATCTTCTCATTTAAAATATTTAAAGCCAATACGCATAATGTATCGTGACGTTGCGGCGAGCCGCCAGGGCCAAATTTATGAAAGGTACATTTCGTTAAACGTGGAAATATTTCAATCATCGGATCGTAACGTTTATCTTGATCCATATTAGAGAATTTTATAACATCGGTACCATAGGTCATGAAAGCACCACCCAAAAATTTATCCACCAAAAATATATTAAGTATAACGTTGGCAAAATTCAAAGCTTCACAAAAATAGTAAGCAAATGAATAGCTGGCATGAGAATTTAAACTATCGATTAAATATTTAATGATACGATTTGTTCGCTCTTTCCCATAATCTTCGGGCATAGTAATTAAGCCACGTAAACCGTCAGTAATCGAACGCATTTTCCCATCTTCTAAACTTTTCCAAATCCAATGCGGCAAATAGAATAAAAGACCCTTAAAATTATATTAAAATTTCATCAATTTTTTTATCGCTGTTCTCTCTTAAAAAATTCATTTGATTACCTGGAAAAACAATACGAAAGGTACCCATTGATAATAGCTATGATATCGTTTCTCTTGACCGAATTCATTACCCAAACCATGAGCAGCTACCTCAGTACCAATTTGCCTATGCTGTTGCCCCGGTATCGAGAACGTATAAGTAATCCAGCAAAAGGTATTAATTACATGCATAGGTATGGAGCCATCATTTATGCATGATATCGGATCACCTGGAATTATAGTAAAAAGATGTCAAAAAAAAAAATTCATTTACTCTATATGTAAAATTGAAATTATAATATTGAAAATTTATGTTTTCTAAAACCACAGAAAAAAACCAAAAATCAAAACTAACTAAAGTATCTTCCGAGGTTTTTAATACGCCTTTGCTTTCTTTTGAGGGGAGATAGTGTTTCTGGGGCGCATTTTTTGTAAACAGAAATTTTTGAAGATCGTGACGAGAATGCAACTCTACTCATACATGCAATGCAATACATCCTACTTCTAGTCCGAAAAAGTTTAACGTTTCGGAACTTGTTTTTCTCTACTTTCGAGGAAATTCCCTAAGGACTCCAAATATTAAAGATTTTCCTTTTTTTGTTTTTTTTTGGCCAATCACTTAGGAGATGTCTACTAGAAGTGTAAAACGGTGATAGTTAGAAAGAAGTGTGAAGACGAAAAGAGCGGAACTAACCTCAGGCTGAACGGCCTCTATTCGCTCGGTAAGTGATATGTGTTTACCGCGACCTAATACACCCTACAGTTATCGATCATAATTAAAGTATAGTTTACCGCACTGAGGGTTGAACTCGGGTGTGCCGACATAACAGTCGCACTTTGCAATTACTTGTTGATTTCCGGTGACCCTGATTGATCCTAAATCATGAAAGCTCTAAAAACTCTTGTTTGAATTAATAAATCTTCTGATAAGGAGACTATAGACAGTCGATCATGATATCTGCATACACCGAATATATATCTATTTTTGATCTCTTCGCCAAATAATTATAGATGTTTATGCTTAACAGATGTAAATATCTACGTCATTTGTAACACTCTCTCATCATTTCTTTCAATTCAGATTTTTAAGCTATTTTTCGATGCTAGAAATTAATTAATGATAGATTTATTTTAAACATGTAAAGTAAATTTGGAAGAAGTTTAGGCTCTTGTATTGGCTCGTTGCATATGTACTAAATATTATTAAAATTCATTTTCGAAATTTATAAAAAAAAAAATAGGTTTTGTGTTTCCTCTTACTTTTATTACCGTCCACCCAGAGGAAAAATGAAAAAATTGTTATTGTGTGAATGTAAAAGTAAAACATTTTTAAAATCGCCTTTAAACAAAAAACTTTATGGTGTCTCTAGCAAGATTCTTAGTCGACCTACTCTTTTTTTCTATTTTTCTGTGCGTTTCAAACCTAAAGCTTGTAAGAAAAAAAGATGAAAAACTGAAATGTTGCAAAGTTTGTCCTTAGTTTCCATTACATAGTATAAACTTTAAAAAATTGACCGCAAAAACCAATTGAAAGAAGTCGTTCGCAAAGTTACCAAATTATATACGAAAATATTTGTTAGGTCCGTCTAAGTTGCACTGCCTTTGCAATTAAAAAATCTTCTAATTATTATTTATCTTCTTGAGTTGCTAGACATTTAAGACTCGATCTAAAATTGATTTCGGGAGAAATTTCCACATAAATGTTACTGTACCGCACCGTACGTCCAATATATGATCTCCAAACTGAAAAAGTGATCGATACAAGTTGTCATAAGCATTGCCCAAGAGCATAAAATTTCTAATATGTATGTGGAATTTAAGCAAGATAATAATAATTACTTGCTAGTTGTGGGTAAAGAAAACAAACAATAATAATAGTGTGAGGTGTGTGTGTGTGTGTGTGTGTGTGAAATCGAATGCAAATGCATGCGTTCGTAAACAATTAATTGCGAAACAATGTTTGATTTTCACAAACAATTTCGTTATCTTTGATAATATTTTATAATGATTTAAAGCATTTGCTGCACACACACATACACATACACACACACACATCCTTAGATGGAAGAAAATCTCAATTAAACGTTGGAATTAGTGGTAAATGTTAGTTCATGAGCTTAGGATTATTGTCTATGGATGCAATTACGTGTACATTAGTAGTCAGTCAGTTAAACATTTGAACTGCAAAGTTCAACTGCATCATAAGTAATAAGTAACTTTATTTAATAAAAACAATCTTCATTTATCTACGGGGTTGTGTTCTTCTTAATAAAAGCAATCTTGTCAAAATGCATGACAACGTCACTCATCATTTTCTATGATTATTATTATTATTATTATTAAAATGGTAATATAGAGTGAAATTTTTGCAAGCGTATCCAATTTGCAAAGCATCAAATCGCAATCTCCCCATGCAAACGTTCTCTCTCGTCGCATCAAATACAGTTAGTTAGTTAAGCTTACATTTTATTATAAATCTAAAGTTAAGTTCACTTTAAGTTTGCTTATAATCCATTTAGATTAAACCTTCTAATGTTGTTGTTGTAAAAGGGAGACAGACCCTTTCTATTTGTAATAGAAAGATTTACAAGAAATCGGCAAAGCAAATATCGATTCTTCATTAAGAATATTTGGGCCACATCTGTCTGTATGTCCGCTTATAATCGCAGTGTAAAAAAGAAAAGAATCCTAAGAATTGAGCTGAAAAACTGAACATACTCGGCTTAATTAAGTTGATCGATCCATCCTTAAGTGTGCTAAGAAAGTCAAAAAAAAAAAAAAAAATGAAAAATTGAAAAAATGTCATAAATACCGAAGTATCTGGAATTATTTCGTTTATAAGACTTATGTCTTATGAATGTTATGACGAAAATACATGATGTCAAATGATGTCAATAAGTCAACTAACACGCCCACAATAATAATAATAATAATAATAATGAAAGCAAGTTTTTCTTTTCTATCCATATACCCAAATAGATGGACAGTCAAAATTCTTCTTAGCAGGAACGTAGCTCTTTACTATGCTGCTACAGTTACTGAACGTAATTTGCACATATATATATATATATATATATATATCTATGAGTCTAAGTTAGCATCTTCAAGCTTACATAGATGCATCCATTTATTTCGTCACAGCATGTGGGTGTCTTTCAAACAACATAAAATAACATATGCCTGCCTGCCTGCCTGCCTGCGTGCCTCTCAAAAGTGTAATGAATCGTAGAAAATATTTTAAGCATTGTATGTTGAATAAAAAGTAATACAAAAAAAAGAAAAAAACAACTCTAAGAACACGAAGACAGAAGATATCCATCCATATAAAATTATACATATCTATGTGTTATATTATATACATATATATGCATATATAGGATACTGCAAAGCGCTATTGTAATATTTATTGTTTTATATCATTTCAAGTAAAGTTCTTTGTTGCTGCAAGTACATGTTTGAAGCATACTTTTGTTTTGTGGCGTCTTCTTTAAATATTTACTATAATTGCTATTTGCGAAGATTGAAGCAGTAAAAGCAGGTGATATTAAAGTGTAGTAAAATTTTAAATTTATGCACAGAATAAAAAAGTAAATTAAATTTGCTTTAATTATTGAATAGAATTTACAAAATATCATATAATTGGATTTCAGGGGAAATGACATTTCATTTATAAACTAATTAAAATTTATTTTAAACAATAACTTGGATTTTTTTAAAACAATGACTTCTCTTAATTGATGTTTTTTTCTTTTTTATACCCATCACCGCAAGCCAAGGGGGTGGTATATTCATTTTGTCAAAACATTTGCCCAAGAGGAAGTAATTATCTCCTTCCTGTACGTCGTACGTATGATGTCTGTTGTAGACCTTCGCCTGCCTGACTTCAATAATGAACTTATCAAATTTGATAGAAATATTGAAAGGTCTTGAAAGCAAGTTGATATTGAAAATGGGTCAAATGAGTAGATGGACACGCCTACAATGCTACGCGAAGCGAGAACACCAATTTTTTTCAAAAGGAATAGACAATGGGCTTTTTGCTCATTACTCATGAATCACGTATATTCTATGAGTTCCAGCAACCCGATGAGGTATATAAATTCTAGGCCAATTTCAAAGTCGTCCGTTCATCATCAATTCTCCCCTTTTGAAAATTTCGCCTACGAAATTGCAAAAGAATTTGAAAAGAACACGCGTACAACACATGCCTATGCGACAAAAACTTTTATTTTGGAAATGGAAAAAAAAAATCTGCCACGTCCACTTCCTATAGTAGAGCAAGAAAATATAGTTCTTTTACTTTTTTCTTTTTTTTTTTTTAGTCCTTTTTAAGGTAACCTTATTGGGCATAAGAGATTCGGTCACGATCGATTATAATTTTCTTACTTGTTTATATTCATTTACATAATTTCACAAAATTTATTATCTTTAAAAATCTGTTGAGGGCAATGTAACGTTTCATTAGCAACTATGACGTCTTAAATGATTTTACAGCAAAACAGCCTTGCATCAGCTTTAATTTTAAATATATTCAAATCCAAACTAGTAGGCATAACTTTCTGCGAAAAATGCTCTGTGATCCTGCAGTAAGAGACTGTCAAAATTACATTTTTTTTTTTTTTCAAAATTTTTCTGTTCGCTGCGCGTTGTAATCAGAACAAATTACAGATAGAGAAGGAAGGAAAGAAGAAGTAGCCTTGAGTTGAAATTGAAAACATCTCGAATGGCGGGAAAAATCATTGCGAATAAATCGTTCTAAAGAGGGCTTCTAGAAATATTATTTCTTAACTGCTTATTACTTTCTGTTTTTGTTGCAGTATTGCTCCGCAACTAAAGCAACTCATTATTGATTTTATGCTATCATAGTAAGCGCGCTAGAAAGAATTATCATTGTAGGGTCCAAGAAATAGTGCGATGCGTTTCTAATTTGGTTCACTTAATCTTTATGTCAAATTACTGTCATAATCAAATTTTCATGAAAAACCGTTAGCTAGTAGGCCTTTTTGGGGTATAGGTATTTACATTTCTTGAGAACCCCTTTATAGACCCCGCGTGGTCCGAATTTGGTAAAGATGATTTCTTTGTCAATTTACTATTATGAAATAATTTTCACCATTTAATACTCTTACCATGTAAAGATTCAGTTTTCGTAGCAACGGTTAATTATAAGAGAGGCAAGCTTAAAAAAATTTGCCCAGCCGATCGAAATTTCCAATAAGCAATAGCAATTTAAAAAGCTGAAAGACTTTTGTCGAGAAATTTTAAAAATTGTAATATCTTCGAGAATTGGTCGGAAAAGTGGTCCTCGGGTCAAAGAACGTCACTGTACCGAATGTACTGAAACAGAAAATAATTCCGAATTGATTGGTATAATAAAAGTTGGGTATATTTTAAGCCCTTCTGAGTGTTACATACATACGTCGCACAAACTTAATACACCCTATACCACAATTGATGTAGGGTATAATAAAATGAAATTGAAAATCCGTTTGTAATATATGCCGTATTGAAATTATCCTAATCGTTTCGTAGGGTTATTAAAAGCGAAAGCTAATATGTAACAATAATTTAGCCTAATAAGCAAAGTATGTTTTCTCATTTATATTGCAATTACCTGCAAACTATTGAAAAAAATATGGTTTCAAATATCGTACACTTCTATACTGCATCAACTACTAAGAAATTTGCGTATATGTTTTTCGTTTCTTACAACATGCCCGGCACAGTTTGTGGTCGAAGGTTATATAGGGCTTGTGTGGATGTATATAACACCAAAAAAAGAACTTGAATTAGATTCATTCTTAAGAATAGATTCACTTTTCGGGTCGATTTACGCTTGTCAGTCCCTCTGTCCGTCTTCGATTCTCCTCTTGTATATCATCTATAGCCCAATATTTTTTAGATATTTTCATGAAATTTTATACAAGGACATGATTAGGACTGGACCAATTTTTCGACGTGCTTATATGAATGCCTTATACCCTAATCTAGACAATTTAATCGTAAACCATAGCCCACAATATGAGTTTTGATTCGTTTTAAACCACGATTAATGTTGACCATTAAAGAATTCTTTTCAAATCAAAAAAAAAAAAAAAAATCTTCTCTCTTGTACCACAATGAGTTTATCGCCCATATACGCCAAGCCTTGTCTCTTGCATTTTTTATATAATTTCTATAAAATTGTGTTCGTGTTCGTGTTCGAGAAAATCTCCCATATCTATAAGCACATAATCAGTGTGTATGATTTTCATGCTGAATTTTTACACGTTGTATGTAGTGGCGACAAATCTCACATCACTTCGAGATGTACAATGAACTAAATATATAAATTTGTACATAAATTTATATATTTATATAAAATTTTTATATCCGTTAACATGATTGTATACGTTTAGCTTTATTCAACATGTAACAGGTTGTAGTTAGTTTCATATAAATATTTCTACATATTTGAAAATACCAATAACAGAACGACGGAGGGATGAATGTCGAGACTAAAATGAAAAAAAAAATAAAAAAATTTTCAATTTACAAAACCACAAAAACACTTTAAGCGTTAAGTAAATTTAGAGAGTTTAAAGGACGAAACAAACAACAGAACGGTAAAACTGGTAAAAATGCTCTCATCGCTTAAGGCCATTAAAATATTATTACATTTGGGAAATATGTTTTTAAAAAGGTTTTATTGATGTAAAGAAAAAAAAAAAAAACAAATTTAATTTCAATTGTAGTATTAATTAATGCTTTCCAATAAAACGTGTCATTAAAGAGTGAAAAAAAAAAAAAAAATAATAAGATTAAATATTGAAATATGTCGCATACGCTCTACACTTATGGACGCAAATTACATTTGATAATGACTTTGAGGTCTCGCATTTACTAAAAAGTTACTTAAGGGATTGAAGTTAAGCGGTTTGCAATTTCCTTGGAAAAATTCCAAAATCCCCAAAAAATATTCATCTCATTCATGTTGATTTGTTTGCGATGATGATTATCTAAAACTTCGCTTGGAGATGAATTTAACTTTTCCGTTTTGATGATTCACACATTTATTCATGATAAATCGGAAAAATGATTTATTTCATAAGTGCGTTGAAATTATGTCAGTTTATTATAATAATCTGCCCTTGCAGAAAATCATATCAATCATAAGCTTGACCAGTGTTATTGAAGATTGAATATTAAATACGAATGCGGTCATTAAAAAGAAAAAAAAAAATAAGAAGAAGAAGAAGAAAATAGCTGATCCAAACGTTTTTATTTTTGCGGTTACAAATCTGACTAAAAAAAATATGAAATGAACAAAAAACTTATATTCAGCTATGGCCGAATTTTTTCTACCCACCTTCTTTCCTAAAAGTCGACGTCTTTAATCTTATCTTTATTCTAGTTTAAGAGTAACGAGCATAAAATTTAAACAGAAGACTGGTTTTCAGTTTATTATATTCTGTGTGGCGTGTGCTTTGACTAAAACCTTCAATGAACGATATCTTCATTTTTGCGGTCACCAGGAGACTGACTATCTTTACCGCAGACATTATACATAGATGAACGGACATACTTTGATCGATTCAGATTTTATGATATTGGAATATTCACACTTTATAAGATTTGTCTGAAACGTCCTCGTGAGTATTGCAAAGAGTTTGTGCAGACCACCTTTCGTTCAGCGGTAGATATTAAAAATCAATACTTAAAGTTAAAACATATGTATACACGGTACGATTACGATTACGAGAATGAGTTTTACAGTCTTTTGATATCATATTACACTCGCTTATGGATATTGAAATGAGTTTGGCGTTCAGTTGAAGTGACAATATGTTTGACAGTTTGTGGTTTTAGTAGAATGAGGTACAAAAAGTTAAATTATGCATACATGTATATATTCGTTCTAGTACCCATGTATATGTAAATAAACAACAAATACTTGTGTAATTGTGAAACTAATTATCACATAGAAAGCTTAATAAGTCGTGAACGTTCAATAAATTTACATGAAATGAGAAAACGAAGACGTGTTAATGCTTCTGTACTCATTTCTCACATATCCAATGCTTATTATTTCATTTGCTTTCCGTAATATTTACTTTTGTACATTTCTCCTTCCATGTACATATGTATACATACATACATATATACATATATACATATTATATGAACAATTTGCAGTGGCATATATTTATGTTTATATTATTGTAATGGATTGTGTTACCAGAGAGAGCTCCTCTTGTACATTTGTATATATATATATATATAGCATTGAGTGCATTTATAAGACTTACCAATTAAATTGTTGGCAGTTACTATGATACAGCAGACAAATAAGATGGCAGTCGTAATTCTATAGTGACAGCGAAACACCATATTATCGATGACAGCTTTATCCAATAAATAACGGATTTTTATAAAGCCTGATACGGCTGATACCATACCAAAGACAGCCATAATTATGGTTTGCCTCTTACTATTAACCTACTTGAGTGACTTAAGTTGTAATATCCTTGAAATACGTAATCCGTTTTTTCCTTTACGTTCCTTAGTTAACTGTAAAAAAAAAA